CGGCCCGCAATGTACAACCGTCATACGGAGCTGCTCATCGCGATTACCTACTACAACGAGGATAAGAACCTCACGGCCCGTACCTTGCACGGTGTGATGCAGAACATTCGCGACATTGTCAATCTGAAGAAATCCGAGTTCTGGAACAAGGGTGGACCCGCATGGCAGAAGATTGTCGTGGCGCTGGTGTTTGACGGTATTGACCCTTGCGACAAGGATACTCTTGACGTTCTTGCGACCGTCGGTATCTACCAGGATGGTGTCATGAAGCGTGACGTGGACGGCAAGGAGACTTTGGCGCATATTGTAAGTTGGGATGACCAGATGGGGCTCCAGAGCAGATAAGCGCTAACAGAGTGTTCCAGTTCGAGTATACGACTCAGCTTTCGGTCACGCCAAGTCAGCAACTCATCCGGCCCACGGACGATGGCCCAAGCACACTACCACCAGTGCAAATGATGTTCTGCTTGAAACAAAAGAACAGCAAGAAGATTAATTCGCATCGTTGGCTCTTTAACGCTTTTGGCCGCATTTTGAACCCCGAGGTCTGTATCCTTCTGGATGCCGGTACCAAGCCTGGCCCTAAGTCCTTGTTATACCTCTGGGAAGCATTTTATAACGACAAGGATCTTGGCGGTGCCTGTGGTGAAATCCACGCTATGTTGGGTAAGGGATGGCGGAACTTGATTAACCCTCTCGTGGCTGCCCAGAACTTCGAGTACAAGATTAGTAACATCTTGGATAAGCCTCTTGAGAGTTCATTCGGTTACGTTAGTGTCTTGCCCGGTGCATTCTCGGCCTATCGATTCCGTGCAATCATGGGTCGCCCCCTTGAACAATATTTCCACGGTGATCACACGCTTTCTAAGCAGCTTGGAAAGAAGGGTATTGAGGGTATGAACATTTTCAAGAAGAACATGTTCTTGGCCGAGGATCGAATTCTCTGTTTCGAGTTGGTCGCTAAGGCAGGCTCCAAGTGGCACTTGTCTTACGTCAAAGCCTCCAAGGGTGAAACTGACGTGCCCGAAGGTGCTGCCGAGTTTATCTCCCAGCGTCGTCGTTGGCTCAACGGTTCTTTTGCAGCAGGAATTTACTCGTTGATGCACTTTGGCCGCATGTATAAAAGCGGTCACAACATCATTCGCATGTTCTTCCTTCACGTCCAGATGTTGTATAACATTTTCAACACTTTGCTCACCTGGTTCTCGCTGGCTTCGTACTGGCTGACCACCACTGTCATCATTGACCTTGTCGGTACTCCAAGCGACAGCAACGGAAACACTGCTTTCCCCTTCGGCAAGACGGCCACGCCCATTATCAACACAATTGTGAAGTACGGATACCTCGCTTTCCTATTGCTGCAGTTCATTCTCGCTCTCGGTAACAGACCCAAGGGTTCCAAATTCTCATACCTCGCCTCGTTCGTGGTCTTTGGTATCATTCAGGTTTACATTGTGGTCGATTCGCTCTATCTGGTCGTTCGCGCGTTCAGTCACGGCGCGCCCATGGACTTTGTTACGGACAAAGGCCCGAAAGCCTTCCTTGACTCTTTCTTTGGGTCGACGGGTGCAGGTATCATTATCATCGCCTTGGCTGCCACATTCGGTCTTTACTTCGTTGCCTCCTTCATGTACGCCGACCCATGGCACATGTTTACTTCCTTCCCTGCATATATGGTTGTTCAGTCGTCCTACATCAACATTCTGAACGTCTATGCCTTCAGCAACTGGCATGATGTCTCCTGGGGCACCAAGGGTTCCGACAAGGCCGATGCATTGCCGTCAGCCACGACTACGAAGGATGAGGGTAGCAAGGACGCAGTAATAGAAGAAATTGACAAGCCCCAAGCGGATATTGACAGCCAGTTCGAGGCAACCGTGAAGCGCGCGCTCACCCCATACATTGCCCCCGTGGAACACGACGAAAAGACTCTGGAGGACTCCTACAAGAGTTTCCGTACCCGACTTGTCACCTTTTGGATCTTCAGTAATGCAATCTTGGCAGTCTGCATCACCAGCGAATCCGTCGATAAGTTTGGGTTTTCAGTGAGTTTCCACCGTCTTTTCTCCACCTTCCTATTATACCGTTAACTAATATGATCATAGAATACCGCCACCACTCGTACAGCACACTTCTTCCAGGCCCTCTTGTGGTCCAACGCCGCGGTGGCATTGTTCCGTTTCATTGGATGCTGTTGGTTCCTGGGTCGCACTGGTATCAAGTGCTGCTTCGCACGCCGGTAGTTCGATTTCCGGAGAGCACAAAATGTGTATCCTTCCTTTTTCATGACCTTCCCCTAACACATTTTCCTCTTGTCTTCTTCTTCTTTCTCATACCGTGATCTGTATTCTACCTAAAGATGCCCAACTCTGTTCTCTTTTTGATTTTGTAATGCCAGCCAGTCGGTATTTGCGCGGTTTTCCCCTTGACGGTCACTGTGATCTTTTTTTGTCGGACCAGCCATACACCAGGATCGCATTCGGAGCGCTATGATGATGTACTTCATATTCAATTTACTTATTTTTTTTTTCCCTCTTCGAGGTTTTATATACTGAGCATAGAGACGTATATATATGTATACGCAAGAAGTACAGAGTTCCCGCGGTCAAATATGTCAAGTGGAAGGCGGAGAGGCGATAAAGGGCGATTGCTGATCTGAGGATCTGAGACCCCGCAAGCACAGGGCTATCCTTCACTCTTACCGTTGTCACCGTTGTCACCCGTTGATCTCGCCCTTTAAAGCTCTGCATCTCCTTTCTGTCTTTCTTTTCTTATCTAACATTCCTCCGTGTTTGCCTCACCATAAACATACTTCGTACTCCCAAAGACCCGTCCGTTCCACCAGGTGGGGTGGTGAACTCCCAGCCAAAATGTTGAAAATCTGGTCGATGGTAGAGCTTTATTTGGGTCTTACAGAAACACCGAACTATGATTAACAGTCTGTATAGAAACAAAAGCAGCAGGAGGCTGAGAATGCCGAAGGTGCTGCAGGCAAGAAGAAGAAGAAGGTCACTGCGGCGCAATTACGCGTGCAACGAGGTGAGTGACTCTCCTGTAGTGGATAGTATAACTCTCACCGGTTGCTTACTGAATCATTGTTATGTGGCCCTCTAACCTCTTCTCTTTTTAGACCTCCAAGAACTCACCCTCGGCAGCACGATGAAAATGTCTTTCCCGAACCCTGATGACATCCTCAATTTCACCTTGACGATCGAACCGGACGAGGGCATGTATAAGGGTGGTGTCTTCAACTTTAGCTTCGCCGTGAACCAGAACTTCCCCCATGATCCTCCCAAAGTTAAATGCACACAGAAGATCTACCATCCCAATATCGACCTGGAGGGCAATGTTTGCTTAAACATCCTACGAGAGGACTGGAAGCCTGTGTTGAATCTGAATGCTGTCATTGTGGGCATGCAGGTCTGTTGGCCTATTTCTTTTGACTGGTCATCTCTTTCGCTGACTGGTCCTTCCACAGTTCCTTTTCCTCGAGCCAAACGCGTCCGACCCTCTCAACAAGGACGCCGCGGAAGATCTTCGCGCCACTCGTGATGCCTTCAAGAAGAACGTACGCAACTCCATGGCCGGCGGGTCCGTCCGAGGCATATCATTTGAGCGAGTGCTACGGTGAACGACAGCTAGGGCTTTACACTTAAGGGGGGGGGGGGTGTGTTTCATCGGTTCCCGTATCCGGACTTCGCCCATACCCCACAGCGATGAGCAGGTACGGGATGATGATCTATGGTTTTACACATGGCGGAGACATGGTTCGGCAATCCCATGGGGGTGCGCTGGTGTTTCCACGTACATATATCCGGCGTAATTAGCGTTTGAACACGATAGATCCAATTCGCTCATTCGATTGATTCAGGCGTAGGGGTCAAGTACATCGATCTGCGCGTTTGAGCGGTATTACGTAGCATGGCTGGCGATGGCCACGACCAGAAAGAGTAAAGTCCAAAATCAAAACGGTTGGTTGTCCACAGGCGTATATGTACAATCGATCTCAAATCAAGCCACCCACTCGTAACACACCCGTCGATCCAACCAAGCCCGGAAGTGGTGTCGAGACATGTGCTTCCATCACGGGCAATTTTCTAGATAACGCTTTGACAAAGAAAAGAACTGGCGCCGAACGGGCGGGAAGGAGACGATCGAGAGGTGATCAGAACTGATCGATTTAACCCCGCTGGGCAGCACGCTCAGCCTCGAGGCGGGCGTAGTAGGTATCGCGCTCACGCACACGGGGGAGGTGGTAGCCTGTGGGACAAACATATAATTAGATTTCGAGACATCAATGGCGTGGGGTTGGCGCAGCCTGGATATGATCTACTTACCGTACCACCAGAGGTAGCCGAAGGTAGTACCGAAGCCTAGTGGATGAGATACCCTGATCAGCAACTGTCTCACTTGTTGGTCTCATCCCAGCCATCTCTCTTGGTATTTATATTTCATGTGGTCGCTCCCGAGAGGTCGCGATATCCAGATTGTCGTTTGATCATGCCACTCGATCCGGATCACAACTTACCGAAAGCGGTGCTCAGGTCAAGGACAAGACCACGGCGGAGCATCTGTAGACAAATATACCATGTCAGTAAATCATTGCGAACATCTCAATTGACCTGATCAACCCGCTCGGGTTAACCCGGCCTTCAACGGAAGGGGCACGTACGCCGGTGATGGGGGGAATAGCGGCGGGCATTGTGACGAATAAGTCGCGTCAATCGATGCTTGAACAAAAGCAATATGGGTTGCGGACAGCTTGAAACCTGCCTCAGACGTTGGTGGAGAGAGGAGAGGGGGGTAAGAAGGACGGCTGATTTGTGAGGTGAAGTTGAAGCTTCGGAGCGGACTAAGCGAGCCGCCGGATTGGTCGGTTTTGCTGTGAGAGCGAACTATGGCATGTTCACCATTCCCTTACTATTCTAGGGCTGCAAAATACGATCACAGATTTATTTTCTTGTAATTTTTTTATATACTGAATCATTTGTCCCAATGAAATGGATATTCCACCCACTAGCACTATCTATGTGAATATCAATAGCAAGGATCACGGCAACTGAAGGAAGCCCTCGAGATGGAGGATATGGTGAGATGAAAGAAGCCTAGCTTGGTGGCAGTATTTGCTCTTCTAAATTTGGTCCTACTCCATTTACCCAAAAGTCCAAAACAATATTTGAAGCCATTCACATTGCTTCCTCCTATGAGTCGCCGAAGGTCTATGACAGCTGCTCGTCAACTCACCGCCCTCACCACGTGACATGACCAACTTGATAACACTCATTGTCTGGTCGGGATGACTACTTCTGGATCAGACCAATACAATGGCCATGGCGACATCGGGCGCCCATGTTAAACGACCTTTTCCATCTATCGACCAGAACAATCCGAAGCGGATAAAGCGCCATTATCATCACCACCATCGTTTACAGGAGCCCGTGGTTCTCCCATCCACCTCCGAGCCGGTCGTGCAAGATGACACCCATCTCGACCAATTGATGAAGCGTGCAGTCGGCCAGACTTTAAAGGACTCAGGGTTTGAGTTGGCCGATCCAGCTGCACTATCGAGTCTCTGCAGTGCTACTGAGGAGTGTACGTGACCTGGTATTGCATCCATTTTGAAGCTTGAATTGACGGGTTACGCCTGAAATCTCTAGACATGCTACGACTCTCCACATTCATCCGTCAGTCCATGCTATCTGCGCGACGCGTCCAACCAATCCCGCAAGATTTTGACCACGCTCTGAAGCGTTTCCGCCTCAATCCCGATGATCTTCTCCCTCATCTCAAACCAGCGCCCTCAGACAAACCCAAGCCGACATTATTACCATCTCCCCCACCAGAGAATGAAATATCCAAATCTCTTCCATTTCTTACGGCTCTGAGCAGCGAAGACGACCGCGCAAATCGTCCCTACATTCCCAAACATTTCCCGAGCTTCCCTAGCAAACACACCTACTCTGCCACGGCGGTTTTTATTGGACGAGACAACGACCCGCGCAAGATTAGGGAACGCGCCGCAGAGGATGGACGGCATGGCGAAGAAGCTTTGCGGAAATTAGCGAGTGCCGCATTCCGCGACAACCAGACGGGCTCCACCGGCCGCGATAAGAAACTCTGGGGCCGGAGAACGGACAGCATGGAAAGCATGTTCGAAAAGACGATCAAGGGACTATCCAAAAAGCACGGCAAGGAAGCTCACGGTACATTCTCCAGTTCAGCGATGGATATTGATTCAGGACACCCAGCGGATGCCGATAAGTCCCGGCTCAAGCTCTCGTGGAATATGGAGTTTGGCCCCATTGTCAACTGTGAGCGAGATCTCTGGCGCCGGACAAGCTCGAATGCACGGCGAGGAGAGGAGAAGACTCCAAAGCCTCCAGCAAGTGTCGAGCCAGCGGATGTCATGATTGACATGTAAATTACAAAGGCATAAGGCCTATCGGCGTTGTTTTCTTTTTCTCCCACGATTATGGGCTGGCGCTTGTGTTTTAGTTCAGGAGCATGACCTGAGGAGATACCCCATGGCAGTCACAAGCATTATTCGGAATGCAACTTCTATTCTTGAAACCTGCAAGTAATTGTAATCCCATATAGCGCCAACTCCGCCCAATGCGTATTTGTAATGCAAAGAAGCCCCTCTCATTGTTTCGTATTGGCTGCTTGCTTTTGTTTTGCTTCCTCTGCTAGCCTAGTTGGCTCCCATGACGTTGTCTCAACCATTAGCCCACCGGCACAGCTACGGAAGATCAGCTTGCTATTTGACTTGGAACTCGATGCTCAAGACTCACCGTCGGAACAACCGCACCACAGGCTCACATACCACAACCCCTGGTTCAGGAACCCCATTTTGTGGCGGATTGCACGAAAATTGTGTCATTTCGAGTAACGGACAGTCCTTGAGGTTGACTTGTTCTCCTTTACGGCGTTTCTCTTGGAAGTTGCGGCGAACGGTATTGACATGATCGGGGAGGGAATCAGCGGAGAATATGGGGACGAGAGGAGCCATTGTAATTTCCAATTGTAAATATGAGACAATTAAACTCGAGAGAGAGTTGGGAGTTGCTGTGTTGTCGAAGGGAAAAGATTGGAACCTTCAAGGTTGGGAAGGTTGGAAGTTCGGAAGCTCCGTCAGCCGCGCTATTCAACTTTCCGCTCACACATCTTGTTGTACACCTACACTTCTACCACTTTGCTCGCATCTACTCACAGGACTTTATACGTGGTCAAAATCCAGTGATGCCGGATTCATGACGCAGTCCATTGCTTACACATGGCAGCCAATCTCGGAGAGAGATCGCTAGCCGATGTACACCAAGAGGGACTAGATGAGGTATTGCAGCCTTTCCTATTTCTTTGAACACGTTGAGTTGACAAGTTTTAGATACTCTCTGGATTGTCCCATTTTTATCCTGGTCACTTAAGCCATGACACATATTCATTAGGCGTGCCCATCTTGGACACTTTGCTTGAAGTCTTTGCGCCGAAAGCATTTGCTGCGAACGATGGACAACCTCAATTTCTAAGTGAGTTTGTAGAACAGCAGACCATTGAAAATGAAGAAATGCTGCTACGCAGTGAGTTCCCGGCTGGTCAAGTTTATAAGCCGGATGAACTACACGCAGCGCAAGACGTTGACCCATCAGCCAATGTGTTGTTCTCAGACCCAGACGGTAGCAAGAAACAGCAGGTTCCCATCGTGGAGATTTCAAGCAGCCTGTCGGCCTCGGGCAAGTCACAACTATTATACTATCTCACAGCTCTCGCTATATTACCACGAAAATATGGGGACATCTCAGTCAGTGGCAAAGAGGCAGCTGTGGTGTTCATAGATACCGACGACCGATTCGATGCTGAAAGACTAAGAACTGTGGCTCGAGGTATCGTGCAGCAGCAGCGAGGAATATCTGAATCAAGTCTCGGGCCTCATCTTGATTCATTACTCGTCGCTTCACTACAGCATGTCCATGTCTTTCGTCCGCAATCTTCATCCGCTCTTTTGGCCACAATCCACACGCTAGACTCGTACCTTTTCGATCTCTCACGACATCGTTCCGCATCACGTCCCTTACAGATGATCGCCATTGACAGTGCCACCGCCTTCTTCTGGCAAGACCGGCTGCGTGACGAAGTCGCTCGGACCGAAGAAATTGGGCGTCCTCAGGCAGAAATTGATTCTGAGCGCGAGCAAAAGAAGAGGTTTCATCTGTCTGACCTCTATACTGAGCTGGTGAGGGAGCTGAAGGCTCTACAGAGTCAGTTCCAGTGTGCAATTGTGTATACCGCAACGGTCGCGGGAGGTCGAGCTACCAGTCCTGGTCACTACGACCAGTTCCAGGCTCGTATTCCATCGCTGAGACCTGCTCTCCCTGCACCCTGGGGTACTTTTCCAACATTGCGTCTGATTGTTCACCGGCCATCTGTTCGCCCATTCCCTCCAAGTATGGCCGCCCATGCAGCAGTGAAAGATGCCCCTTCACGGCAGAGCGTGGTTCAGCAAGGGAAGATATCGGCATGGGTCAATCCGTGGGGGCGCGATGAATGGCCTCGTCGCATATTGGAAACAATCGAGGCGAACAATGGTGGGGGCTTTTCATTTTACATGCGTAACTCTGGGGTTGAGATGACTGATTCTGATCATTGAATGTTTATATTTACGGTGTATATTCATCTATTCAATATTGTATGCTCATGTAAACAGCTTGGCAATTGCCTCAACCGTTGTGTTGCCGCCGCTGAACACAACGCCAACATCCCATCCATCCTTGCCACCCTCTTGTTCGACTAGTCGCCTGAAGTTCTCATCAAAGAGACATACAGCTAATCCAACCACTGCACTCGGCTCAACAACAACCTTCATGCGCTCTATAACCAACCGCATGGCTGACTTGATCTGCTCTTCGGTGACAGCGAACACCCCTTCTACCTTCTTCTTATTGGAGATGACCTCCCAATTGAGTAATCCCACGGGAGTGCGTAGCCCGTCTGCGATAGTGAGGGTACCAACGGCTTCCACTCGCTTTCCAACCTGCAGCCCGCGTCGACAATCGTCTGCACCTTCAAAGCTGGGCTCTGCACCGAACACGCGTGTCTGCTTATCCGAGAACCACGTCGCCACGCCGGAGTTGAGTCCCCCTCCACCAATAGGAGTGATGACCGCATGGAGGGCTTGGGACCCAGCTTGTTCGGCATGCTGCGCCTCCAGCTCCAACCCCGTTGTACCCTGCCCACAAATGACATTGAAGTCATCATATGGTGGCACGAGAATGGCATTTGTCTTCGCCTGTATCTCTGCCACCACAGCTTCACGTTCTACACTTGTCGAGCCGCTGAAAATGACCTCCGCGCTATGAGACTGCGTCCCCGCAATCTTCGATGGCGTGCTGATGCGGGGCATCACAATATATGCGGGAATCCCCAGGGTTGAGGCAGCGAGGGCGAGGGCTTGTGCATGGTTTCCTGAAATCAAGAGCAGTCAGCATGTATAATTTTGCCTGGTGCAGCAGAAGATCAGAAAATACCAGAGCTATGCGTGATCACCCCACGGCGTTTGACTTCCTCCCCGCGCTCTTCCAACAATCGCAGCAATGCGTGGAATGCACCCCGTGCTTTGAAGGCACCGATTCGCTGAAAGTTCTCGCATTTAAAGAAGAATCGAAATTGTGGACGAGCGGGAGTTTGGCCTTCAAACGGCGTTCCGACCAAGGCTTCGATGGATTGCGGTGTTGAGGCGATGGTATCGAGTGTTTTGCATGTCAGTAGCGGCGTACGGTGCACATAGGGTTGAATGAGACCATATGCCGCTTGAATTGCATCTGGAGTGAGCGATTGAGCTACAACAGCGGGTGAAGTCATATTTGTGGATTGTAGAAGAGGGTGAAGAAGGGAGAACAGAGAAGTAAACAATGATGACTCTTATTTTACCCCGGACTATTCTCCGGCCTTCGGCGCGGGGTTACAAGCTGCAGGTATAAGCTGTAATGTACAATTTATAGAAGGAAAAAATAAGAAAAAGAAAAAAGGTAACTTGGGGAAATGGCCGGTAAAGCCTTAGAATAATATTTTCGACCTGAAACCCAAAAAGAACAGTTCATAGTACATCATCATTTTTTGAACCCCCACGGGTATCAAGGTATTATTTATTTCTGGTTCTCGGGGCGGAGAGAGCGGACGGCCTTTCCGGCGCGCCAGATCTCGAGATCGCGGATCTCCTGCATCTCCTTCTCGTACTTCTCGCGGTAGTCGGGCTGCGAGTTATAGTCGAGGGAGCGCTGGGTCTCAGTGCCGTTGTGGACGCTGTCGTAGAGGTCGTTGAAGACAGGCTTCAGGGTGTCCTTGAAGCGGCTGGACCAGTCAATGGCACCGCGACGGGCAGTGGTGGAGCAGGCAGCGTACATCCAGTCCATACCGTTACCACCGATCAGGGGGTACAGGGACTGGGTGGCCTCCTCAACGGTCTCGTTGAAGGCCTCGGAGGGGCTGTGACCACGCTCACGGAGAACCTCGTACTGGGCAAGGAACATACCGTGGATACCGCCCATAAGGCAGCCACGCTCACCGTAGAGGTCAGAGTAGACCTCCTTTTCAAAGGTGGTCTCGTAAAGGTAGCCGGAACCGACGGCGACACCCATGGCGATGGCGCGCTCCTTGGCCTGGCCGGTGACGTCCTGGAAGACGGCAATGGAGGAGTTGATACCACGGCCCTCACGGAAGAGAGTGCGGACGGTACGGCCGGAACCCTTGGGGGCAACGAGGATGACATCAATGTCCTTGGGGACATCGACCTTGGTGAGGTCTTTGAAGACGGGGGAGAAACCGTGGGAGAAGTAGAGGGTCTTGCCCTTGGTGAGGAGGGGCTTGATGGTGGGCCAGGTCTCGGACTGGGCGGCATCGGAGAGCAGGTTCATGATAACGGTACCCTTCTCAATGGCAGTGGTGACATCGAACAGGTTCTTTCCGGGGACCCAGCCATCCTGGATGGCCTCCTTCCATGAAGCACCATCCTTGCGGACACCGACGATAACGTTGAGACCCTGGTCACGGAGGTTCAGACCCTGGCCGTGACCCTGGGAGCCGTAACCGATGAGGGCAAGGGTGTCGTCCTTGAAGAACTCCTGGAGCTTCTCACGGGGCCAATCGGCACGCTCGTAGACATCCTCCTTGACGCCAGCGAAGTCAATGGTCTTGATACCACGGACGGGGGTGACCACCGAGGAGACACGGGGGAGAGCGGCAGCGGCAGCGACGGCAGGGCGAGGGAGAGCTGCGGTAATGACCGAGCGAGGAGCGGCCACGCGGGCAAGGCGGAGGGCACGGGGAAGACCACGAGAAGCCATTGTGAAGATATGGAAGAGAGGAGAGTGGAGAGTGAAGGAGAAAGAAGATGTTGGACTGGGGAAGCTTGGGAATTTAAATAATGGGCGAATATGGCTGGGCGATTCGAGTCACCGTAGCAATTCTCGGAGAGCAGACCTTGCTCCCCGGAGACCCCACACCGACACCGGCCGCTCTGTTGATTGGAGGATGATCATTTATTATGTCATGAATTGCGTTTCCCAGTGCGACAAGCATACTCCGTACTAGAGATCATATTATTTTTATGACTCAAATCTTTATGGATAAGTATTTTTTTCTTTTTTCCCCGGAGTAGGAACAATCTCCGGGATATCAGAATGTATCAAAAGTGAAGTACTCTGTCGAGGGTCCAGATTCTTTTTTTTTTTTTTTTTTTTTTTGAATTATTATAATTATTATAATTATTATTTATATATTTGGAACACGTGATGACATTCGTACCTGCCTCAACTTCTTTTTTGAGTCGTTCCTTCCCAAAAAGAAAAGTACCATTTCTGCCTTAGGCCCTCGACAATGTCCGCTCCCCCGCCCCACGTCTTCATATCCACTGATATTGTTTGGTCGGTCCAATTACTTTCTCTTGTCTCTAGTTTTTGATCGTACCATGCCTATAGGATGAGTGTCTTCTCATTTGGGGATTTACCCACGATCCAG